GTAAAGAAGCTGCACAGTTTCTACGGACAGTCGATGCTAAAACTTTGACCGAAGCAGTGACACAGCTTTGTACTAATCTAGTACGATTAATAAAATTATTTTTTTTCATGAGAATATTGGATATGAATAGATGATTAATTTTCTAACATTATAGGGAAAGTCGAGCTATAACCTTAAATTTATACCGACAATGGATGACAAAAGTGAAAATCCCTTTGCACCTCAGCCAGCAGATGAAATGGCCAAAAAAGGAATTGAGGTTCCAAGTATATTCGGTTACAATAGTCACGAAGGGATTATGTTCCTTGTAGGTAATTATGCTTACTCTTATTAAAGTCAAAGGATTTAACGATAACCGATGTATCTGATCCTTGTTATTTTATTTCAATTCCGCTTTCCGCGTCGCATCTTCAGGAGCTACGGATGAGACATACAGTAAAGTCGAAAATGACTTTGATGACTTTTTTGATAAACTCATTTTAAATCAAAATATTACAAAAACTGATGACGCCGTGAAAAGTGTCAGAAAATATTATTTTGGTGAGGAACCGATAACACCTGAGCAACGTGACAATTTCATACAGCTAGTAGGTGACTTTTACCTTGTCTTTGGAATTCGACGAATTCTAGAAACTCAATCCCAAAAAAGGGTTCCATTATTTTTCTACAAATTCTCTGGACCAGGTGAAAACGTGTTTATGCCACCCAATGTCAGAAATGGCGTCAAAGGTAAGCAGAGCTGACTACAATTGAGCGGCCGGTTTCCATAACAGGCTCAACGCTTGGACTCAGTCCCCTCCATAGCGCCATACGTTCCGAGCGCGGAAATTTTACCGTAAATTTCCAAAGTTGAAATTTCCTTCTACGAAAAATACCAACGTGTCCAGCTCGATTGGGTGCACATTTTTTACATTGGAATATATATAGCTGAGACTGTTAGTTTTCTTTAAAAAAATTAAAAACTTGTTTTTTCTACGATTATGAAAATCAATATTTTTTTATATTCAACTCGCGACCATTTCGTTAATAATTGATCGATCGCTTTGATTCTTTTTTCCTCAAGCAGAAGATACTCTAGCGATAACGTCAGTATCGTTAGATGATCGGAAAAACTTTTTTTTATTGCCAATTATTTTCTTCTCATCTCGCTTCGCTGACAATTCAATCTCAAAACTTCAATCGAAAAATCGTAGGGACGAAGTTTTTCGAAACATAAAATTGCACATATATTCATGTGCGTCAAGACCTCAGGAAGATTTTTGGAAAGTTTCAGCTGAGAAAATTGAAAATTGAACCTTCTACGATTAATTGTTAACAATCGCGATGCGCGCCGTGTAGTTGGCGTCTGGTGAGGATGCGAAAGAGATGGACGCACACCGACTTTGTAGCAGAGTGACAAAGACGAAAGATGCGTCACTTGTTTTCTTCAAGAAATGTAAAAATTTATCAATTTTTAATAAATTTTCTTACATTTTTCTTTCCTGTAGTAAAGGATTATTGGTAAAACAGTGCATTAGAGCCATGGTTAATCAAAAAACGTTAAAATATTACAGTTTGTTCATTGCACCGAAGAATGAGTTTGTAAAATATAGTTCATTCAAAGGTATTGTTGAAAAAAAATTTAACTGTTTTTTTCGGCGAATACAAAAATTAATTTTTTCCAACAATGCCTTTGAATGAATATATGTGCAATTTCAACTTTGGAAATTTACCGTAAAATTTCCGCGGTCGGAACGTGTGGTGCTATGGAGGGGACTGAGTCCAAGCGTTGAGCCTGTATGGAATCCGGCCGCTCATTTACATATTGGTTAATCAGACAAATAAATTTGAAATTGGCCTTCACAGGTACATGTCACGGAGATGAAGTCGGTTGTATATTGTACAACCGTGCATCTAATTCCAAGTTGGAACCAGATTCTAAGAGTCGTGTAACGATGGAATATTTCACCAGGCTCTGGACGAACTTTGCCAAAACCGGGTGAACATCTAAAAACAAAAGACAAAAAGAAATTACTTTCT